GAGAGAGAGAGAGAGAGAGAGAGAGAGAGAGAGAGAGAGAGAGAGAGAGAGAGAGAGAGAGAGAGAGAGAGAGAGAGAGAGAGAGCTGCACTGCGCACATGACTGGTGGGGACGAGCCGCCCGAAGCCGGCTTCTCCGAAGAGTATATTAATTTATCGGTCAGCACACTGAGCACACTGCAGCAATTCAGCAGCATAATCCTTGCTCCTGAAGAAGCCGCACCGCACAGACTCTGTCCATCAAGCCTTTAGCTGGTTTGCCTTCCTTCTTCCTTTCTCTTTTTTTTCCTGATAAAAATTAAGGAAAGGGTGGCGGCCTTGAGGATATATCAACTGGTGGCCAGGGCCAGGTAGTTGTACTACCTGTCTGATTACTGTATATTACTATCAGTGACAAGCCGGCCTCGCTCTTTGTTAGCTCCTCCTTTTCTTCCGCTTCACCTTTCCTTTCTGTTGCTCGTTTCCTCGCCAATCTTCATCGCCTTCTTCTTCTCCAATCTCTCTCCTCTTGAAGTCTTTGTCACATACTAAGAAGAAGATTGCTTCGTTTGGAAACTTGCTTCACTGTTGCCACCCCTTCATCCCCTTCTCCTCCTGGGTCGGACTCCGGAGACGCAGTAGACGACTGTAAAGCTAGTACTATCATAGTATCATGGCGGCATCCAGGGTGGCAAAGGCGGGGAGCAGCAGCCTTGTTGCCGTATGCATACAAGACGGCGACTCGAGGGAAAAAGTACGCAGAGTGATGGACTGCAGACCGTACTCTAGTCTTCTCCTTCCCAAAACAAGCCGAGGGAAAGGTGATGCCATTGGAGGTGCCAGCAGTCTTGGCCATGATCATCATGATGGACTTGTTCGCAAAACTCATGTGAGGGCAGGATGTGCTCTTCCTTCGAGACGAGACCCGTTCCAGAGGAGGGCTCCCAATCGTCTTCCTGAGCTGGCTGCCTGTGTTGTACTTAATGATGGGGTTGGCGACCGGTTGTTCTACGGAATCTATGCCGCTTCCTCAGCCACCAGAAAGCGCAGCTGCAGCTACAGAGCTAACCATGATAAGAAGAACGGATTCGTTGACAAGGTGCAAGCGCTTCCAGAGAATGGCACAGAACCGTTAGAAGACCCAGCGTTTCCCGAGGGGGACACAGGTGGAGTAGTTCCAGAAGATGCAGCAATTTCCATGGTGGTCACAGGAGGAGAAGGAGAACCTGCCTTCCTCAAGGAGATAGTACAGAGGAGTGCTGCAGCTGAAGCCGGTGACTCGGAGGCATCCAGGGCGGGGAGCGGTGGCAGTATCCCTTCCACGGTCTCTTTCGTGGACAGCAATCCGTATCCCGCTTCGCTAGACAGCTCACGGTTCGCAATAGCAGGCAAGGCCCAGGGCTATGGCTTCAGGGCGACGGGAGGACGGGGTGGAAAGGAGTACAAGGTCACCAACTTCTCCGCCAGCGGCCAACAAGGCACCCTCGAGTACGCTCTGTCCCTGTCCGAGCCTCTGTGGATCACCTTTGATCAAGCTGCCGCTGATCGTGCGAAGAAGTTTCAAGATGGCAGGCCTATGATCGACTACACCAGCCTGCCGATCAGCAGAAGGTTGATATCAGTCAGGTCGAACAAGACGATCGACGGCCGCGGGCTGCGGTTGCCTGTCGTCTTGTACGGGTGCGGCCTGAAGTTTCTGGCGGAAACACAGAATGTCATTGTGTCCAACATATGCCTGGATGGAGCCTTCAAGGAAGGAAAGGGCGGCCAGAAGGACGTCGATAACATGGATGGCATCCAGATCGCCGGCGACAAGTCGGGCAACGCGCCGTCCAACGTGTGGATTGATCGTGTCACACTCAGGAATTATGCAGACGGACTGATCGACATCACACGGGGGAGCACCAACGTAACTGTCTCCCGCTGCCTGCTCACGGACCACGATAAAACCATGCTCATAGGATCGAGCGACGATTTGGGTGACGTGGACCGCCGGATACGGGTCACAGTGCATCATAACAAGTTCATGAATTGCGGTCAGCGCCATCCTCGTGTTCGCTTTGGCTTCGTGCACGTCTACAACAACTCCGTCTTGCGTTGGAAGACGGCAGGTGTGGGGCTGGGGACGGAGGCTCAAATTCTGCTGCAACAGAACTACTTCTTGCAGGACTCCGACAACACCGTCGTGGAGCTCAAACCGAAAGACAACGGAAGGGACAGCCAGGGCATTGCATCTGTCGGGGACGTCTATAACCCCAAGTCACTCGACATCAACACGGATAGCAGATTTGCAGAGGTGATCAGGAACTTCCGGGGCGCTTCCTCAGATTTACCAAGGTCCCCCAACACACTCACGGTGGAGAAGATCCCAAGCGGCGAAGCACTTGCAAAAAAGCTGGATGGCATAGCAGGCGCTTGGTCAGGAAGCAGATTCAAATTCTGATCATCGTGAGTCGTTCTCTTCTGTGCATGCATGCGGTGCACCTTGGACTCTCTGAGGAGAGGAGGAGARAGGTAGGTGGCGAAGGAGATGAGCTCCAGTTTGAAGCTTGCACAGCAAGGTGCTTCCTTTCGCATAGAATGAGATTTCTGGGGCTCTAGTCATGAATCTCATGATGCAGGTGGATCGTCGCTGTTCTGATTACAGTAGGTAGGATATAAATTATATAAATGGTTAATAACCATAAGTGGCCTCCCCCCTCCCCCCTC